TTGGAATATTATTGGAGTCATATGTCATGTTGAAATTCTATTTTAGAAGCTCATTGGGAGTTGTGATTTGTTTTGAACTCAATTTTATGGTATCCTACTCATTAACAACTCTATTAGGTGAGTTTGGACATTCCCTACTTATTCCCTATAAATACTAAGTTCTTTTACACAATTTTATGGTGTGAGAAAATAGATTACTAGAATTATAGGATCCATTGTAATTTTCTCTCTTCTCCATTATTCTTGAGTAAATAAAATCCCTTAATTTCTCTGACATATTCTTGTCTTTATTATTCTTTTACTTGATCAAATACTTCATTATTATTCGCCATATAACTTCAACATCTCAATCCGTTGGTTTGTTTCACAACAATTGATATCAGAGCTATCCTGGTATCTTGATTGTTTTGCAACAAGTGGTATCAGAGAGCCAGGTTCTGCAGTTCCACATCAACTCATCATATCAGGAAGAAGTGAAGGTCTACCTTGAACACACTCATGCATCTTTTAGTTAATATGGTGGTCGTGGTTGCAGCGGTCTTGGCACCAGAAGAAGTTTCAAATCTCAGGCTGGATGTTTCACTCCTACAGGTAGACACAATGCTCAAAACAACCAACGAAATAACGACAATAATGATGGACAAAACAACAACGTGAATCAGTCAAAACAGAAGAATTGTAACGTAATCGAAAATAATGGTAAAATATACTGTCAAATTTGTGGAAAGAATAACCATGTTTCTATAGATTGTTGGTGCAAGTCCGATTATTTGTATCAATCTGAGGATATTCCTCAACATCTCCCTTGCCCTCAATGATTCTAATGATCAATCATTTTATATTGATTCTGGAGCTGCCGCACACATGACAAACAATGCAGGCATATATCTTATATACAGCCTTATCATGGGAAATGTCATTTATGTTGAAAAGGAAAAACCCTGCCTATATCTCACGTCGATAACGCTAGTATTGGAAAAATTAATTTAAAAGACGTTCTCGTTGTGCCTAATTTGATAAAAATTACAGAACCTGTAACTGAATGCCTGCTAAGTGAAGTGCTGAATTTGAAAATTCAGCAAGTGAGAATTGATCATTTGAAGCAGCAGAAAGTTCTATAGCCAACACTTCACATTACATTGCAAACCAAATTTCTTGCTGCCCCACATTCAGAATTGAAGTCTGGTGAATCAGAAACGTGCCACCAGAATCGCAATCAAAATGGCAACTCCAAGTTTCTACTCCTCAATTTCCATTATTTTGATTTCGACAGAGAAGTCTCAACTATTGGAAGATTAGCATCAAGAAAGTTTTGAAGGCTAATGTTGTATTGTCGAAGACGACAATGTACAAGACAAGGGAGACGATGCCAGAAAAATAAAAAGCTTGAAGCAAAATATGCAGCAAAATTCAAACGGCCATTTCACGAGCAATATTCTGAAGAATTCCGTGGAGACGACAAGGTACTAACCACCTATCTCTAAGAAATGATCGGCCTTTTCAAGCAGGTGCATTAAGGGGCAGTTTTGAAACCAATGCACTTAATTCAATCAAAATCAGATTTTGGCTCTGTGTTTCAAGTCAAATATATTTGGAATTATATTAAAGTTTAATATGTGTTGTGTTGTTCCAATAAGTCCTTTAGATAAGCGAGTTGTCAAATTTAATGTCGTATTTTTCTATCATCTCTCGAGTCTAGTATAAAAAGGTTAATTTCTTTGATCGATTTTAAAATTTTCATAAACTTGTTGAAAATCAATTTGAACAAAGAATTAAAAAATTTCAATATGTTGGGCGTGAATTTGGATCGAAAATTTTCATGGAACGCATCAAGAAAGCATGAAATTCATTTACGCATTTCATGTCCTGAAACTCTTGAGCAAAATGGTATAGCAGAAAGCAAACACCAGCATATTGTCAAAATGGAATTGACCATGATTTTTCATACAGAACATTGAAATAGAAGTTGCTATAGTTTCGACAACTTGACCTTCACGCATATTGTCGAGAATTCGGGCCAAATAATTAAAGACGAGAAAATAAGAGCAATGTGAAAAATATTAGATCATACAACAACACAAGATTTAGTGTAGAGAATTGAGGTTTTATTTCAGAAGATAACCTATCAAGTACAGTAGCTCAATTCCATGTAAGCAAATTATTTACCTTATGCCTAATCGACGTAAGACATTATTCAGGAATTCATGTTTTTTTAAGATACAACTCTTCCACTTTGTCGTGGGCAATCCTTGAGATCGAACCATTTGCAATCCAACTTAGGACCCATCGCTTTGTTCGGCAGCAACTAGAGATCCGTCCCACGTGGTCTAAGTTTGGGGATAAAGTGACCCACGAACCGGCTTCTTTTGCTATTTTTGGTTCGATTGTTAGTACCTTATTCCTTTCTCATTTCATCTGCTATTTGCAGTGATACAAGTTAAGGAAGTTGATGTTGGATTTCAAAGAATAAAATAATTATACTTGCTAATATTAATCAAGAATCAAAACACAGTTTTCTTGAGACATATGATAATGAATGTTTCCGACCGTGAATGCAGAAATTGTCTCAAATCTTTTTCATGACTAATAAATTCGGGCATTGGTTGCATTTATAGTACACAAGTGAAGACAATTCTCAGCAGATATTTTTGGTTCTTCTACATAGAATAATTCTAGAATATATATGAGGTTAAGAAATGTCATGAATTAAATATTTTGCGACTTTTTTTCAGCTAGAGTCATTGTTTATTGTTTTATCTACAAAATATATTAACTTTTATGCAATAGACTGCCAACATTGCAAAATAATATATTAGCAACAAGCGTTAAAAATGCTATTGTCAAATCTAACTGAGTTAACCAACGGCAATATACATTTACTTATTGTTGCGATAAACCCATTTTAGCAACGCACTAATGAATATTGTTGTTTATATGTTATAAAATGCTACTTTTCTTGGAGTAGCACTTGGACTCCTATGCCAAAGTCTTTGTTATTTAAAGTAAATTCCTTAACTTGGATGGTAAATACATGAATAAATAACAACTATTCATACATACGCATTACATTAATGGATTCTACTTTATATCTGCACTAGAGGACATCTCAATGCACTGAGAGAAAAGAGCAACTTTTTAGCACCCAGTTGACGCCAAACAAAAATACTCCACTCCACGTTGCACATTTCAATGATGATAGGTGGCTTTTGTACTAGGATTTTGTTTGGATTGGGATTTAAAAATGGGTAAAATGGTCTTTTTCTATGGCAGAAGGAACCTGAATTTCTCCTTTGTTTTGGGATGGAAAAGTAGATTCCCTCCTATTTTTCCATATCAACATACAAATTATCCTTGGTTTTCAATTTCCATCTATGGAATACTCGATATTTCATTTCTTGCAAATTTTATACAAAGAAACAAATTTATGTGCCCTTTATCACGAAGTACATTCCCTTCTATAAACAAGCAATGGAAATTATTCTTCCATAAATTTTCACCTCTCTTTTCAACAAAACAATGGAGAATCTAAAATTATCGGTCGTAATTTTCTTTCTATCCTCTTTCTTACCTAACAAAACGCATCTAAAGGATTTTTCGGAACTAAATATGATTTTTTTGAACGTGGGAGTCAAAAAATGAGTATATATATTGGGTGGCTGCTCAACTGTCGCTCAAGTGGTTGCTCGCTCACCCGAATCCTCCATAACTCACACGAATTGCTAGATCCATCCCTGTATGCATAGCATAGTTTAGGATTACTGCTTTGCTCCTTTTCTTTCTCTTCTAGTTTCTTTTTTTTTCTTGATGAAGACAAATAAAGTATGTATTCTATTCGGTATTGTTGTTGCTTTTCCCATTTCCAATGGTGGGGGTTCAATTTTTAGTTTCCTTTTGTGGGTCCCAGGCTCCCGTGTAAATGTTAATCTTATTTTTACTTGGTTGGACTAGATGGCTTTTGTGCTAGTCTTTTGTTTGGATTGGGATTTAAAAATGGGCAAAATGATCCTTTTTCTATGGCAGAAGGAACTTGAATTTCTCCTTTGAATTGGGATGGAAAAGTAGATTCCCTTCTTTTTCCCATACCAACAAACAGATTATCCTAGCTTTTGTTTACGTCCCGATTTGGGAATGAGTTCCATCTATGGTGTGAGGCTGTGATACCAGCTCAGCCCACTTTAGGCAATGATGATATGGCCATCGGCCCAACACTAATGCCCATCATTCAGCTAAAGAGAGCCCGGTAACGCCCAAGCCCAATACCCGGGAAAACGTGTTTAGCTTATGCAGCTTTAGTTGTTCTTCCATTGTTGAAAGTGTTAGTTTCTCTAGGCTGTTAGATGAGTTGCTATCAATCTTGATGCCTTGATATTTTGTGGTATTCGAATGGTTTTCTAATTTTTCATTCTTTCTATCTCTGGTTCTTGAGGGTTTCTGGAGACTTCTATGTTCTCTCTTTTCATATTCTTCTTCTGCTATGAGGATCTCTTGAATCTGTTTTTTGAGTGTGATTTCTGTGTGAAATAAGGTGAAAAGATTAAGTGTAGTCGTTGGTAGTGTTGAGCTCTTCTGATCCATAGAAGAAGATTCACGTTTACTGTGTATCGTGAGGGTTCTTGGGTGAATCTGGACTTCACGGCGTTGAAACATAAGGGTATCTTATTCTGAGTCTTTGATCTGTGATCCTTTGGTGTTCAGTGGTATTTGGAGATAAACTTTTGTAATGGGGTTTCGAGTTTCATTCGATTTGTAACATATGGAATAGTCGACATTTCATTTCTCGCAAATTTCATATAGAGAAACACTTTTGTACGTGTCATTTATGACAAAGTGCATTCCCTTCTCGATAAGCAAGCAATGGAAATTATTCTTCAATCAATTTTTACCTCCCTTTTTTACAAAACAATGGAGAATCTAAAATTAACAGCCGTCATTTTCCTTCTATCCTCTTTCTTACCAAACCAACGCACCTAAAGGACTTTTGGGAACGAAGGTTAAATACCATATTTTTCAAAGAGTAAAATTGACATAAAACTTTTAGCACGAAATCTGAAAAAAATCTTATTAAACTAAAAGTCTCAATCTAGCTATATTATTAATTTATAACTTGTACCCACTAATAATATTAATAAAGAACTAAAAATATAATAGATAATGAACATTTGAGAAACATGAGATACGTATTGCAAGTAATTGGACCCCAGTCCTTTAATAATGACAGGTTTATTGATTCTTCGTTTGGGTTTTGTGTGACTTTAAATATTCTGCAAGACGACGGTCTATAAATGCACTAAGTTCACTTGCAATCCTGCACAGAACGAATTTTGTTTTTGTGAAGTGTGGTGAAATTCTTTACATTCGAGTGCTATCAAACGAGAGAACAATCTTAATGGATCCTAGTTTGTATAAAGCTGTACAAGAGGGCAATCTTAATGCCATGAGAGAAAAGAGGGAACTTATCAGCGCCACTCAATTGACACCAAACAAGAATACTTTACTTCACGTTGCTGCCCAGTTCAACAACTCCGGGGAATGCGCATCAGCAATCCTCAAGATAAATGGATCCTTATTCCATGAAGTGAACTCAGATCAAGAGACCGTGCTCCACGTTGCCACAAGAAATCGCAAGGGGAATGTTGGGGAAGTGATTATGGAATTCGCAAAGGGATTAGATCGAGATCAGCTTGAAGCTGGAGGCATAGGCGAAGAACTCAAATGGTTGCTAACATCGAAAAATATACATGGAGACACTGCACTGCACGAGGCTATAAGGAAAAATCGTCCATCTATGGTCAATTCGATGATAAAAGAAGACCCTGAAATTGCAAATATAGCAAATAATGCAATGGAAACTCCACTTTTTCTTGCGGTTGCTAGCGCTCGAGTTGATGAGAACTTGTCTACATGCATGGATTACATAATGAAATATTGCCCCTCGCCGGCTTACAGTGGACCAGAAGGAAGAACTGCTCTACATGCTGTGGCTTTATATAATAAGAAAGGTAAGTTTTTAATTTTATAGTAGCAACTCTTTGTTCTTTAAGAAGAATATGCTCTTGGAACTTAATATAGGCTGAAGGGAGTTGGACTATGTCATGTGGCCATGCTAATACTGGAGGTGAATTTTTAGTCAATACTCCAATTTCCATAAAAACACGTTTTTTAATTATATTTTTCTTGATTTAGGAGTTATGGAATTTTGATATTTTCTCCAGGAACTGGATTTTGGTTTCCTTATATTAAACAACCACTTATCATTCTAGTACATGCTTTTTCTGCATGAGAACTGCTTTATTTGCCTCTAGCTAATGCCTAATGCTCACTCAAAATTTGATGAATGCAGGAATCTCAAAAAAGTTGTTGGAAAAACATCCAACTATAATAAAGGAAGTAGATGATTTTGGATGGAGTGCTCTCCATTATGCTGCCCTACATGGATCCAACGAAGTAGCAGAGGAACTATTAGAGGCTGATAGATCAATAGCATACACAGTTGTAGAAAATGATAACAATAAGACAGCTCTTCATATAGCAACTTGTGAGGGGAACGTAAATATAATGAAAGAGATTTTAGCATATTGTCCTGATTGCTGGGAGAAGGTTACAAGAGACGGCCGAAATATTCTACACCTTTCCGTGAAATTAAAAAAACAACAGGCATTTAAATTTATCATGAAAAAATCATGGGCCGGCAACCTCATTAACCAAAAAGATGCAGAGGGAAACACACCCCTCCACGTATATGCAGCAACTCCCAACTTCCACGGCTGTGATCTTGTAAACCATCCACTAGCAGAGAAGAATGCCGTGAACAACAAAAATATGACGCCTCTTGATGTGATAACGTCTTCCTATTTTTATTCACTAAGACAGGTAAAGATAATCTCCCTTCAATTTTTTAAGTTTTTTCATTTTTTATTTTCTGAATGAAACCACTTAACTTTCACTTTATTTCTTATACGACGTGGAAAATTTGAAAGGTGCAAAAGGAATGTGTTACTATCCTCTTATCATAATAATGTGACAAGTCGAACTAGTGACTTTTCTAAATTAAGTGATGCTCTAAATGAAATGACAGAGGGCAAATACCTTCTTTTATAATTATTGGTTTTAGGACTAGCGTGTTTGGTAGGAAAAGCTACAATTCGGGATAGTATTAAAGAAGAAAAATAAGTTAAAATGTTATCTATAGTATGTGTACCAAACATGTCTTGATGGAAAATGAGGATGCCAGAGATGAAGTTTCCGTGTCTAATAAAAGCATCTACCACCGAAAGTGCTGCTCATTTTTTTTTAGTTGATCCTTTCGTCTCTAATTCGACTCCTTGGTTTGACACAACGCAGTATGACGTGATGAAGGAATTAATACAAAGAGGTGCTAACCTGGATACCTGGAATGTAGCGATTCGTGAAAATAGTTTGATGCAGAAGATGGAAGCTCGTCCTGAAGATGGAGATGAAGTGGTTAAAACAGATACTAGAAGAGTAGCCGACACTCATATGTTAATGGCTACTTTAATAACAACAGTTGCATTTGCTGCTGGATTCACCGTTCCGGGTGGGTATGATGGAAAGGATGGCCCGAACGAAGGCCTGGCAGTTTTATCGAGAAAAGCAGCTTTTAAAGCATTCATTATATCAGATACATTAGCTATGATTTGCTCTGCTTGTGCTATTTGTCTCCACTTCGATGGAGTCTTAATAACTGACAAGTCGAAGCTTAGGCAGTTGTGTACGGTTGCTGCAATGTTCATTAGTCTGGCCACGGAGGCGATGGTAATTGCTTTCATGACCGGGTTGTACGCGGTGTTAGAACATTCACCAACACTTGCAATCATAGAATGTGTCCTTTGCAGCCTCAGCTATGCTATTTTACGCTACTACAAGATAAGAAGTATATTTAGCTTTTTTTATATAATAACTATAATATTTTTACGTTTCCCTTTCCGTTTCCGTTCATACTATGGAAGTCTTATGTCCTATGTCTAATCGATTTAGGTTGTAAACACTCTAAATATGATTAATGTATTTTATTTATGACAATATCTTATTTATTTGAATTACTATTCTAATAAATAGAGTTCGTAGATTTATGTCCTAATAACTTGTTAATCATAAGGAGTTGTAATAGTGAGAAACAAATTACACATGACTCATTCTTGAATTATCCGTGATCGTAAGTAATGATAAGATGCAGATATTGTTATTACTGAAAGACCATCACGTGTGGCATTTCTCACTTGTAAAGTGAGTTGCTGATCTCACAAGATAAAATGTAGTAACATTTAAATGGACGCGTTGATATTTTGTTATAAGAACAAAATATTGGAAAGAGAGATTTCACATGGATAATTGTCTGAATATCAGTGGTTGATCTCTAACATTCGGCAGTAGAATTGATCCTTCAATTTTAGGTTATCATAATGCCTTATATAAGAATAGTCATACTTTGGTGATGTTGAATGATACTCTGCCAAGAGTCGCTAATACGACATCATTCAAGTATGTCAAGAATCATGTGAAAGTTATGAATGATTAATAGAGGATTCGTCTTAGATATTAAGAGATTATGATTTACATTTCATTCAATTAAGTTGATAACAAAATTCTTGGCTAAGTGTGGTCATAAATAGAAAAGAGTTTTCGACTTATATTGATTTAAGAATTGGATGAAAGATATGGTAGACAATCGAGATTGACACACTTTCGTATATCGTAATTGATCAGATCATAATGATGAATGAATTATAGTTTCACGGTAAACGAACAAGTTTAGTTTTGTCATACTACATGACATTTCTCGTCACATCTATTGTCCGACACATTGTTAGATGTCAATCGGGAACGTCGAATGTAAATTAATAAATGATAAATGAAAGGGTATTTTAATTTATCTTATTTTGATTTGATCAAAATAATAATTCACGTCATTAGATATCGTGATCGGGAGCAGAATGAGTCACACACAATAAGAACTAGAAGAATGATATTACTAATTAATTAATCGACAAGAGTTGGATATTTATAGAATTAATTAATTTGATTGCGTATTAATAGGCCTAAGACAATTAATTAAATTAATTAATTTATTGAGTAAGTTTAATTAATTAGATTAATTAAATATTGAACCGGATCAAGTTTAATAGACGAGTCAAGCCCACTTGACTTCTATTAATAAACTGTTAGGGTTTGAGAAATCATAAAATACATTCATTGTTTTGCTAGCACAAGAAAAGAGAAACCATATTTCTCTATTTCTTGTTCCCTTATGTGGATTACCACTAAAGACTGGACAATTAGACAATTGTGGTGCGTAGATCATGATTGTACGTGTTCTAAGATTATCAAATAACTTCGCAAAATTAACTAAAGATATAATTCTTATCACAGTTTTTATCCGAAAAAAGAAGATCGTTGGTGTGAATTGACTACCACATAATCATTTAAAACGCAAAATTCATGAAGTAGGCCTCTAAGCCATAAAACTTTTTTAATAGCTTCAGTGCTAGCAATGTATTCACATTCAGTCATGGATAGTGCAACTATATGTTGTAACTGTGATTTCCAACTAACACAAGAGTTAGACAAAGTAAACAGAAAAGAAGAGGTAGATTTTATATTATCTATATCCCCTGAATAGTTCTCATCTACAAAACCTTTCAATTTCATACCTTCTTTATTAAAACAAACTTTAGACCTAAATCACTAGTTCCCTTTAAGTACCTTAACATCTATTTTAAGGGTTCCTAATGTTCAGGGCCAGGATTAGACATTTATCTATTAAGAGTACAAATAGCAAAAACTAAATCTGTTAGTGCAGACCATCAAATACATAACAGATCCAATCACATTAGAGTATGGAATCCTACTCATGTATTCTATTTTCTTTTTCATTATAGGGAGCCTAATCTTTAGATAATGCAAAGTGATTAGCTAAAGGTAAAGTAAAAGGTTTGTTGCATGCCAAATTTTCTCAACACTTTTGAAACATAAGATGACTGATGCAAGTTCTAAGCAGAATTTGACATATCTCTTTCAATTTTCACACATATAATTCTTTTAGCTTTTCCTAGATCTTTAATGTCAAATTCACCATTCAAATTTATTTTTATATTACTTATCCACTTAGTGATGAACCAACTAAGAGTGTATCATCGACATATAGTAATAAGATCACAGTCATTATTAGCATCATCATATTGGAAATATATGCAACGATCAAACTTATTCCGTTGAAACCCTATGGATAGTACAAAATAGTCAAATCTTTTATACCACTGCTTAGGTGATTGTTTTAGACCATATAAAGATCTTTTCAAAAAACACACATGATCATATTTTAGTTTGTCTTTAAAACCTTTTGATTGATTCACAAAGATTTGCTCATCAAATTCACCATGTAAAAAGCAATTTTTACATCAGATTGTTCAAGTTTCCAGTCAAAATGTGTAAGTTCTAAAGTTGAAGGACGAGGAAAATTTACTTTGAAGATGATATCCAGTAAAGAACTCATCCTCAACAATGTCTCACATTACATGTACCGAATATTCGCAAGAATCTTGTATCCGAGTCTCTACTTAGCAAAAATGACTTTAAACTTGTATTCGTATCCAATAAATTTGTACTCACTAAGAATGAGATGTATGTTGGTAAACGATACTTATGTGATGGAATGTTCAAAATATACGTTCTTACAATTGTACTAAAGCAAAGCATTATGAATAAAACTTTGAATTCTACTTATATGCTTGAGTTGTCTTGTTTATGATATAGTCGATTAGGACACGTCAATTACAAATCTATGCACAAACTTATAAATCAATGTTTAATTCCAAAGCTTAAGATTGATCACAATCATAAGTGTGAAATGTGTGTTGAAGCAAAGTTGAGCAAAACACATTTTCACTCAATTCAAAGGAACACGACGCTTTTAGAGTTAATGCATAGCAAAATATGTGACTTGAAATTTGTTCAAACTAAAGGTGGTAAGAAATAATTTATAATTTATATTGATGATTGTCTAAAGTATTGTTATATCTTTCTACTACAAAGTAAAGACGAAACCTTAGATACATTTAAATATTATAAGACGGAAGTTGAAAATCAACTTGATAAATGAATAAAAGGTATTCGTAGTGATAGAGATGGTGAATATGGGGCACCGTTTGAAGAATATTGTTCTAAGCATAGAATTATTAATCAAACAATAGCACCTTATCAACCCAATCAAATGGTGTTGTTGAATGCAAAAATCAAACTCTTAAAGAGATGATGAATTCAATGTTGATAAGTTCGAGTCTACCTCAGAACTTATAGGGGGAAGCTATTCTATCGAAAAATAATATTCTTAACAAAATACCCCTTCAAAACATAGAAGAAACTCCATATGAACTATGGAAAGGTCATTCCCCTTCTTATCAATACTTGAAAGTGTAGGAGTGACGGCTAGGGTTGAAGTACCTAACCCTAAACAAGTGAAAAAGGGTCCTAAAACGATTAATTGCATATTTATTGGGTATTTCAATAATAGTAGTGCATATCGTTTTCTTATACATATATCTGAAATTCAAGATGTACATGAAGGAACAATAATTGAATTAAGAAATGCATCATTTTTTAGAATACTTTTCCATATAAAAGTAAGTTCAAATAAAAGAACTTGTGATAGTACAAATGTTACTTCGAATGATGAAGAACCAAGACGTAGTAAAAGGGCTAGAATATCCACTTCGTTTGGCCCAGATTTTCTAACCTATATGGTAGAAAATGAAATAAAGACTTTCGATGAAGTAATATCTACATTGGAATCACCCCATTGAAAATAAGCTATCAATAGTGAAATAGTTCTATAATGCAAAATCATACTTGGGAATTAGTTGATTTACCTCTTGTGAACAAGTCTTTAGAGTGTAAATGAATTTTCAAAAGGAAACTAAAACATGATGGATCAATTGACAAATATAAGGCTAGATTGGTTGCCAAGAGATATAGAAAAAAAGGACTTTTTGATACCTACTCACTCGTAACTAGAATCACATTGATAAAGTTGTTAATAGCTATTGCAGCGTTACATAACCTTGAGATTCATCAAATGGATATAAAGACGACAATCCTAAATAGTGAGTTAGAAAAGGAGATATACATGGAACAACCCAAATGGTTCGTCTCTCCTAATCACAAACAAAAGGTTTGTAAACAAGTTAAGTCCTTGTATGGATTGAAACAAGCTCCTAAACAATGGCATCAAAAGTTTGATAAAACAATGTTGTCTAACGGGTTCAAGATATATGAATGTGATAAGTGTGTATATATTAAACATACACCAAAGGCCTACGTGATTGTATGTCTATATGTAGACGACATGTTGATAATGGCCAATAATCACGAAATAATGCTACACACCAAGAGAATGTTAACAAAACATTTTGATATGAAAGACTTGGGTGTGTTTGATGTAATATTAGGGATTAAGATCTCTAGAATATCAGAAGAAATTATACTTCTCAATCTCACTACATTGAGAGTATACTTAAAAGGTATAATATACTTGAGGAAATCCCTACGGAAACCCCTATTGACACAAGTTTATACTTAGTCAAAAATACGGGTGAATGTGTGTCATAACTAAAGTATTCACAGGTTATAGATAGTCTTACATATATTACAAATTGCACTCGACCGGACATAGCATTTTCTATGAATAAATTTAGTAGATTCACAAGTAATTTAAGCCATGATTATTGGAAGACTTTAACAAGGGTTCTTAGGTACTTGAAATATACTTTAACCTATATATTACACTTCACAAAATATTATGCGAATTGGATATCCGATATAAAATATTCGAAGTCTACTAGTGGTTATATATTTACCATTGGTGGAGCTGCTATATCATAGAAATCGA